AAAACTGGCCTACACTGTCGGGGTCAGACGCCTCTACTATGTCGCGTGGCCTGAGCTTGTTTCCGCCGCTCTTATCCGGAAACAAGGTACATCCGAGGAGTAGAAAAACATAAGCACTAAGCTGTGCGTCGTGCGTCCTACGTGCGCTGGGGTACAAACACCGCTGCAACACGGATACGATCTTCACACCGCCGTGTTCCCAAACACCCAGCGCCTCGGTGTACAGTGCAGCCCTGTCCACCGCCAACAACTCCGCCAGCAAATCTGCCTGATCCGCATCAGCCACAGCACCAAGTCGTTTACCCTCAACACGAATCCCCAGAATGGCCTCGACGTCATGTAACATGATCGTCATCTCACCGAACGGAAGGTGGAAAGAGTTTGTATCCGGCTGCCATCGCTCAACGAAAGCCGTGATCAGCGTACTGTCAATCTTATCGTGCATGATGGCAGGAACGTGATTCACCCCAGTGCCCTCCAGTCGCTCGAACATCTCGCTCTCCGCCGGCCAAGCCTCAGCCCATGTACGCAAAAAGCTACAAGTCTTTTCCCGGGTATGACATTTCAACAACCCCGTAACTGAAGGCCTCTCCTGGTCCTCCCAAATACGGGCAGCTATGTGTCCTAGAAAGCTAGGAATCACACTCCCGTCAACAGGCCCACCGGGCAATTCACTCCTAACAACCCAAGAATCATTAACGGCCCTCGACCGTTTCCTACTTGCCCCAGATACAGTGGACGTAGATGAGGTGCCAGATCTACTAACAAACCTACCACCCCTACCCTTACGCACCTCCACCATATGTGCCTCGTACATGTCATCAACCCTCTGACTGAATGGACCGTAATCATCATACGGTCCACTCCCATCGTCCACATCCTCATCCTCATATGCGCCCTCCTCCTGCTCCTCCTCCTGGTCACCCTCCTCAGCATCATCATCATCATCGTCATCGTCATCCTCATCCCGCCGGTGGATCCGTTCTCTACGAGCCGAGGCCGAAATACCTCGGGATCTAACATGTCTATGCCCCGACCTCTCCACTGAATAGGTTCTACTAAGAAGCTCTACATTCTTCCCCGCACCATGACGACCCAGTGAATTCTACAAAAAATTTAACAAATTATTTCAACTAATTAGGACACAAAACAAAAATTTCAAATTATTTCAACTAATTAGGACACAAAACAAAAATTTCAAATTATTTCAACTAACTAAACACAGAAAAATATTATACGGCATACACAAATACACACATAATAACTAACCATAAAAAATAAAAATAAAAATTATTTCAAATAACTAACCATAAAAAATAAAAAACAAATATATTACACATACACAAATACACATATAATACCCTAATGTATTACACATTTTAAATAAAAAAAACAATTACACATTAACACAAACAATTACCACATACTACATCAATTACCACATACTACCCAACCCTAAACCCTAAACCCTAAACCCTAAACATCAAACATAAAAAAAAAAAAATTTAACCACAAAAAAAAAAAAAAAAAACTGATTTTATAAAAAAAAAGTATACACGATTTATTAAAAAAAACCAAATTTCTGATTTTGCAAAACCAAATTCCTAATTTTGCAAAACTAAAAAAAAATACACGATTTATTAAAAATTAAACATAAAACTAAATTTCTGATTTTGCAAAATAAAAAAAAAAACCAAAAAAAAATTAGAAAAAACAAAAACAAAAAAAAAAACAAAAAAAAAAAAAAAAAAAAAAAAAAATTAAAGGGGTGGCGTCCGGCAGCCATAGCCAGTGGGCAGGCGTCCAAACCAGAAGCCCACCCACTGGCACAGGCGCCAGATCTGGACGCCACAGCCAATGGGCTGGCTTCTGGTTTGGACGCCTGCGCCGTTGGCTGGGCTTCCAAGCCAGACGCCACCCCACCGGCTTTGGTGGCCGGAGCTGACGCCACCGCACGCGCCACCGTCTTCTTTTATTTTTTTTTTTTTTTAAAAAAAAATAATTAAAAAATTACCTTGCCACCAGGTCGCCGCCTTTCCTCCGCCGTCGCCGCCGCCACCTCTTTCCCTTGCCGCCGCGACATTGTCGTAATTAATTTTTTTAAGAGAGGTAGATTTTCTGATTTTTTTTAGAGAGAAGTAGAGAGTGTTTTTTTTTTTTAGAATGAAAAGGGCAAGAGAGTCAAAACAAGTTATATTTGTGGGCTTTATATAGTAATTTGCGGGCGATGTTTAACAAATCCCTTTAGTTAAGGTTAAATTGTAGATCTTGTTTTGTTTTTGAACATTTATGATTCTAGTTAATTATTTTTGTAATTGTAATTTATAAATTTATTAGATCTTTGTAATGATAATAGTGAATTTTTTTTTGTTTTATTTAGATCTTCGTTTTTTTTTATTTTTTATTTTTTATTTATTGAAATTCAGATCAGTAAATTTATTAGATCTTAGTTTAGATCTTGATTTTGTGGGAATTTGTGTTTCGGATTTTTGTAATTGTTATTGTTTCGGTTTTTTTTTTTCGATTTGGTTTTTTTTTTTTCGTTTTTCTGGGTGGGTGGGTGGTAGTGGTCTGGTCAGGGGTGGGTGGGTGGGGTGGTGGAGGTTTGGACAAGACAAGGTGGGTGGGGTGGTGGTGGCTCGACATGGTGGGGTAGGGTGGGGTCTAGTCAGGGGTGGTGGAGGTTTGGACAGGATGGGTGGGTCTGCTTTTGTTTTTTTTTTTTAATTTTTTTATTGATTTTTTCGACAGAATATTCCGTCGGAATATACCTCTTCCGACGGAATTTTCTGTCGGAAACCTCTCCAACCCCGACGGAAAATTGCGACGGAATTTCAATTAAAGTCAAAAACAGCGCCGACAGGATTATATCCGTCGGAAACTAGTCTTCCGACGGAAATTCCGCCGGAATAGGTCGAATTTCCGATAAAAGGTATTGCGACAGACTGATTCCGGCGGAATTCCGTCGGAACGCCGTTTTTCGACGGATTTTCCGATGTTACCGAGAGAAAAATTCCGTAGGAATCCAGCTGTTTTCTTGTAGTGATACATAGGTACTATTAAAGTCTTAATGGTACTATTACATATCACATTAGTCCCACTGAAAGTTACATTTTTCTAGTAGTACTAATAGAGTTTCATGGACATGGTAAATTTTATTGATATTAATGATGTATCTGATAGTATCATTAAGACTCTAATGATACTATATATATGTTTCTAACGGTACAAAAAATATACCATTGAAATTTAAAATTTCACAGATAATGACCAAAATACCCGACGTTATATGAGGCGCATACAGCACGGGTATGTACCCGTTATCTTTACATATACTTTATAAGGATAACTTAGAGAATTTGTCTATTAATAGCTTACCATATATAGTATGGGACTATGAAACAAATAATATAACCTTTATTTCATTTTAAAAATGTTAATCAAGTAAATAGAAAAAAGGAAGTATCATCCACCTTAATGTGATATTGAGATTCCCAACGGGTCTCAAAATGGTTATCTAAGCTATGTCGTGCGTAATTAAAGTTTACCGTCAACCATTCTTGACTGCAAAAATAGAATCATCCTTGCCAACAGTTAGCTATCCAAAAATTGTTTTTACGGATTTTTCACCAAATACCACTGAGTTATTGCGTGATTCACCATATACCACAAGAAACTTTCTAATACACCAAATACCAGTATACCACTGAGTTTAACATAAATTTCACCACATGCCATTTCCGTTAACTCAGTTAGTCATTAACGTTAATTGTGCCACGTGGCAGCTTATAATTGGTTCTAATTAATATTATTTATTTAATTAATTAACTTTAGAAAAATTATTTTAAAAAATAAAATAAAAATTAAACACCACCAATACAAGCCACCGCCACCCCTGCTGGCGACAATCCCGACCCAAGCCACTTCCCAGCTGGTCGGCGACAACCCCGACCCCAGCCAACACCTTATCCGAAAACCACAACCATGAAACCACCACGAAACAACCATGAAACCGCCACAAAACTGCCGCCTAACTTGCTGAAAGTACCACCCCTCACGAAACCGGCCGCGAAATGCGGGCACTACGACCATTGCTACCTCGATCTTCCATTGCCAGCGACCACTACGCATGGTACCTCTTCCATTGCTGTTTAAAATTTCCCGTTGAAGCACTCTCCACGCTCTCCACTCAGGTTGCTCCTTCTCTTAATTGTTTGTAATTGGAGTTTTTTGAAATTAATACATGAATTCATCGAGAGAATTCAAGGGACAGGGGTGGGTTAAAAGCGGCGAGTAAGGAGGCGAGGCTGTTGCGATTTGTGGCTTCCAGTGTAGAAATGCAGTGAGGAGGATTTGGAATTGGTGAGTTGGTGATTGGAGGTGAGAGGAGTGAGTTTGAAGCTGGGCGGTGGTTAGGGGAGGGTTTTCGTGGGAGATGCGGGCACGGCGATTCAGGGTAAGGTGAGGAGCGCCGGCGGGGGGTTTTGGTTGGATTCCGGCCGGCGGGAGATGCAGATTGATTTTTGGGAAGATGGGTTGAGAGAATTGAAGTGCATTTAGAGGATGGTGGTTTGGGAGGAGGACGGGAAGGAGAGACGACAGGGGTAGGGGGAGCTCCGGAGGGCCGGTGAGGGAGGAGGCTGGGCAAGGCCGACGACGGGGAGGGGGAGCTAGGCTGGTGGGGGAAGGGGTGTCGGGGTTGGTGGAGAGAAGAGGTGGTGGTTGTTTTTTTTTTTTTTTTTTAATTCTTTATTTAAGTAATTAATTAGATAATATTAATAAGAGTCAATAAGTGACAGCCACGTGGCACAGTTAACCTTAATTACTAACGGAGTTAACGGCAGACTAACGGCAGTTACCAAAAATGGCATTTTGTGTTAATGTACATTAACTGAGTGGTATTTGGTGTATTAGAAAGTTTCTTATGGTATTTGGTGAATTATGCAATAACTCAATGGTATTTGGTGAAAAATCCGTTGTTTTTAACTTTTAAATCTAAATTGAATGCAGCAGCTGGGAAATTCATACGTATAAAAATTAGTAAATACAGTATAATACCCTTAGCTGTACAATGTAAAGTCCCAAGATGAAAGAAAAAGAACAGCTGCGCTATGAACAAATTAAGTACACCAGCTCATGCTTGACTCCATTCAACAGTGATATTGATGCCAATTTGATCTCCTTCAATGGTCACACTATTACCAACACCATTAACAACTTGAAATTCCCTTGTGCCCCTTAACAGTTGAGTAAAACCACTTGATTGACAACTTAAATTTACAGCAATACGCAAAGACGAATCTATGGGAACAGCAACCACAGGTCTTGAAAGCTCCATGTCAAATTCCTTACATGGTACTTCTAACGAATTGTCTTCGGGCCTCTCAAAAAGCAAAATCCGATGATATAATTTCTCATAAGGCGTTCTACTCCCATATTTACTGTAGCAAGCAACAAGATTCCCATAAATTTTGCAATGAGCATCAACAGACTGTTCACCATTGAAAAGGAAACGGATTTTTAGCGTAGCCTTCAGTGCATGAGAGAAGACTGTGTAATGAATAGCCGCAAAGCTATTCTTTTGTCCATGCCCAATAACAGAACACAGCAGGCAATCTTCCCAATGATACAAAGGATCACAAGGTATATGCTTTGGTCGAGCTATCCCTTTGATCGACACACGACCTTCAACATCCTGGAGGTCTACTGACACAAAAAAACTATCCGCTGGTACTAGAGCTTTTTTGGGACCTTTCAGAGGTAAGAAATTGCAGCCAGAGGACAAAATAAAGGGATCAGTCTTGTCTCTTTCAAAGAGATTAAGTAGACCAAAGGTGCCGTCAAAGTTAACCATGCCATAGAGACTCAACTGCTCATCATTTTGGCGACCTATAAAAACAGAAAACACCTCTACTACAGGATATACTGAGATATTTGGTGCGTTGGGCTGAACATAAAAGTGACTAAAGTCAGCGTTAAAAAATTACATTCAAGACTAGCTAAAATAGATAAAGGAAAAGCCAACTAGGACAAAACAAAACACACGAACACATACCAGCAAATGGAAGCGTCTCCTGTTCAGATATCCATGAGATTTGACACATGGCTCATCTAGAAGAAATGGTTCCCTCCAAATAATAGTCACTTTAGCATTCACACAATTTCGACCAACAATGATCTTATCCCTTGAATAGTTAGAAGTTAGAAAGTCATAGCTGCCCTCTACAATTAACTCGTTCTTAGCACGATCCCATAATTTTAATTGAATTGTGAGAAGTGAATATGAGGGCACAGCAACCACGGATCTGGACAGGGTGATTCCATTAGTAGGATATATAAGGTTCACCTTTTCAGTCTTATCTGAATCCTTGTTGATATCAAAAAGAGTAAAGCAATTAATCTTGTGTTCGGAATCATAAAGATTATATGCAGCAGAAATTGTGCCATAAATATCAAGATCTTGTTCGTCTTCTTCATAGATCACACTTCCCGCAACTTGTTTTAAGAGTTGGACCTCAACATGGGCATAAACAGCAAATGTAAGTGCAAGGTACTCCACCTCAGCACTACAGGGAGCACCGGGAACAGTAATTTTGTGGAATTGTTCGAACTGATGATGTAGTTGAGGTGTATCAGTAGTCATGAGCAAAGGAGCATAGTTAAAAATGAGGGTATCGCCTGTAACCTTGTCTGAAAGATGTATGCCAATAACTGGTTTATCCATTGACATCACACGATTAGGCCCAAATAGGCTTAAAGCACCGCCAGTTAAAGGGATGATCTCCGGGTCATCAATTTCCTCCTCTCGTTCAAATAATACAACACGATTACTGCCTATACCCACACGGCCCATAGAATCATGGACATAAATAGTACCATAGAGCTCCCATGATTCTGAAGTGTAGTCGGTTTGGTTATGGTTGCGGAGCCTCACAGAAAGAACCTCAATCACTGGTTCAGATCTAGTATGCTTAGGATGTTGCCAAACACTATTATCATCCGCTATCGACTCTATTGAATTCCGCATTCTCTCTTTCTTTAGTTGTTCTTCTGAGGGAGACTTTTGGGATTCTATTATTTCATCCAACTCATCGTCATCAGAAACATCTAGGGTAAAAGCTCCACCTACAACATCCCGTGCCCAAAATTAAAATTAAAATAAACAACACTGCGGTGAATAAATTTTGCAAAATATTTCGGAATTTAAATTTTCTATGTAAAAAAAAATTCATCATTTAAGTAAAAGGGAAATAATAATATGGCAGATGTATGTGATTATTTAGTAATTACACAGTGCGTGAAGATAATTTGCAAATCTCATGAGAAAAACGGTGAAAACCCTAGAATTTTGAAATATTACAAGTATAATTGACCTTACCAAATTGAAGTTCAAGCGGCGTTGATGGATTTACTGTTCTCTTTCCAGAAATTACAGTAGCCATGTCTTCAACATAGAAACTTTATGTAATCCAAAAAAAAAAAAATCGGGGGTCCAATTCCTCAATTGAACACTATCACAAATAAAACAACAAACCAAAAAAATCAATTCCCAGAAAAATCTTAATTAATCTGACGAAAAGGTGGAAACCCTAGGATAATGAAATTGAAAGTGGAACAAGTATATACTCCCTGTCCCTTAATTTTTGCCCCAATTTCCTTTTAGGGTGTCTCCTTAATTTTGTCCCATTCTATTTTTGGACATATGAGTCCATATTTCTACTCTCACAACCACCCAATTAACCCCACCATTTTTCTCTCTCATCACTTTTTTCCAACCAAAACTTAATAAAGTAACATTACACTATGGAGCAAAATATAAGGGACGGAGGGAGTATAACAGAGGAACTAATAAGCTTACCGGATTCAGACATTCACTGCTCTACTGTGACGGCGGATTTACGACGGTTGTCTCCTCTCTCTCCTCCTTCCTCTCAAATTGTACTTGGGGCTTTCAGTTATTGATGGGGCCGCCCTATTGAGAAACAAAACTCGTTAATTAAAGGTAAAATTGTAATACTACAGGTAACATCGTTAATTAAAACTACGACTATATCACCAAATGACACTTAGCACTTTAATAATTCACCAAATGTCATTAAGGCTTTCAAAATTCACCAAATGTCATAAAGTTTTAAAAAAATTTACCGAGTGCCATTAATGACTAAGGGTCGTTAACTCCGTTAGTCATTAGGGTTTAATCATGACACATGTGGACACGTGTCAGTCAGCTATTTGTTTTAAAAAAATAAATAAATAAAATTAAAAATTAAAAAAAAAAACTCTAAATCCTAATCCAACCTAGCCCCACCACTGTAACCACCTGCCAAAGCCAACCACCAGAACTCCTTGACCTCCTGCTGGAACCCCCTAACCTCCCGTCGGAACCCCTTGACCTCCCTCTGGAACCCCGTGACCCCACCAGAACCGCCGACTCCAATCCACTTAATCCCCCTTTCCTCCTCTCGAAAAACCACCCCAGCCCCCGCAACTGTCTCACGCAATGCCCAGAACTTCACCTGCCCGACTCCAGCACCTAGACGACGACCCATAGAACTTTGCCTGCCGGACGACCCCTGCCATGATCCCCACCCCAGCCCCCGCAACCACCTGACGCACCAACACGACGCATCACCGTAGCCACCGAAATCGACCATGGAAACCCAGAATAAAACCCGACCATGGAAACCCTTCACCCTCAAACGGCCGAAATCAACCATGGAAATCCAAAATGGTTGATTTCTATGGTTGACTTCGTCGTTTCAAGGGTGGAAGATAGGAGGAGTGGTTTTGCGCGGTGGTCGGAAAACGCTGGGTGTTTTTTCGTGAGGGGAAAAGTAGAAGGTGCTAAGTCGCTGGTTTTAGAGGTGGTGGTTGGGCTGGTTTCGACGGTGAAGGTGGGGCAGGGAGTACCGGCGGCTAGGGTTGGGTTGCCGGCAGCGGTAGTGGTGGTGGTGGTGGTGGGGCTGGGATAGGGTTAGGAATTTTAAAAAAATTAAACTTTTTCTTTTTTTAAGATTTTTTTTTTAAATTGAACCAATCGTATTATGACATGTGTCATGATTAAACCCTAATGACTAACGGAGTTAACGTGCCGTTAGTTATTAATGACGCTCAGTGAATTTTTTAACAACTTGGTGGCATTTGGTGAAACAATAATTCTTAGGTGGACCTGGTCCACAATAAACTTTATTGTGGACCAAAGGTCTCACGTGCCAAAGCAAGTTATATAAATTTGACCCCATTTACCTAGAGGTCACTATATACAAAAATAAGGTAATTATATCAAGTTATATAAATTTTGACGACATTTACACAGAGGTCACTATATATAAAAATAAGGTAACAATAACAATTTTGACGAAGCTTGCACATAGGTCACTATATATAAGAATAAGGTAACTTTATCAATTTTGACGACATTTACACAAAGGTCACTATATATAAAAATAAGGTAACAATATCAATTCTGACGACGCTTGCACTTAGGTCACTATATATAAAAATAAGGTAACTTTATCAATTTTGACGACTTTTACACAAAGGTTACTATATATAAAAATAAGGAAACTATATCATTGATAACTATATACAAATAGAGGTAACCATATCATTGATAACATGGTTGAACCTTGAATCTGCACATCCCATTCCTTCTAAATCAAGTCTTTCACCTCAGAGAAACCAAGGCACCAATACTCCATACGGATCAATCTTCTGGCAAGTAATGTTCTGCATGACCATATTTTTTTTACTAAAATTAGAAAATCCAACTTATGCAAGATTAAACATGGTATACTACTTTTCCCTCAAAAAAAAAAAAAAACATGGTATACTGCTTTCTGAGGTGCAATGAAGAAAACAAAGTGGCATTAGACTCGGCCCATTAATTCATCAAGCTCTAACCATATTTTTTTAAAAACAAATAACCAAATGAAATTCAGCAAATTTAAAACTCAAATTCAACTCAGTGATTCTCAAAAATGCAATAATATCTACACTTGAATACAATTGAAATCAATCTAATAAAAAGTATCAAACATTTCAGAAGTAAAGAAACAAAATGCAGTCCTCATCAATCAACAAAAGAAAAATGGAGCAAAGATTCATCAATTGCCAGAGCGATCAAAATAAAAAAAAAATAAAAAAAAAATCTGGAAAAAAAAACTCTGAAATTATCAACTATCATTGACAATAAGTTATAATCAGATTTTCATGCTTCACTAATTTAAACGGCAAAATTCAAAATCACACTAAGGAATAAGAATCTCAGTCGCTAAGAACTAACAAGAGAAGAATTAAACAACTGAAAAACAAATCGATTAACAACAATCAACAAATCGATTTACAACAATGAACAATTAACATAATTAAATAGGCAATTTAACCTAGCCAATCGAAAAACAAAAATCGAGAAAAAGGCAGAACAACTTACCTTCAACTAAATAATAGATTCTGGAACAAAAATACTTGAATCACAGAGATCGCAGACAAATTATAGCATATTAATGATAAGATCACGAAATTCCGCCGGAGCTCCGTCACCATCTCCGCCGCATCTTCGCCGCTGAACGTCGTCGGACCTCCATTATCAACCTCGAAGCAAGAGAAATTTAAAAAAATTAAACAGGAAATCGCAAAATCAAACATAATCGAACAAAATTGATGAAAAAAAGTCGAAAAAATTGATGAGCAAAAGTCGCAAATTCACACTGAAAATCGAACAAAACACGCAAAATCGCACAAGAAACGAACAAAATCACAGGAAATTTTTTTTTTGATAAAATTGCCAAATAAAATCGAAAATACGAAACAAAATCCAGACAAAAAATCATGCAAATAGCTTCAATTGAAGAAAAACAACGATTAATCAGCTTAAAAATGTAGAAATCAACTCGGAAACAAAATTATACTAGGAATTGGCTGATTATTGCAATTTGCATTAGAAGAACGAAAGCCTCTTCTCCTCCTAAATGTTCCACTGCCTCTTGTTAACGCCATTGAAGAAGAAATTAAGCAAAATCTTCAAATCAAGTAGAAATTTGAGCATTGAAAAAAGAGAAAGTAGAGAAAGAGGAGCTCGGAAGAGAGAGAAAGTAAGAGGAGCTCAGAAGAAAGAGAAAGTAGAGAAAGAGAGAGAAAATGAATGAGGTGCAAAAATTTGTGCTTTTTGTTGGACCATATAATCTTGCACACGTGACAATTTCTGGTCCACAATAAATTTATTGTGGACCAGGTTTATTTAAGAATAGATATTGGTAAAATAGCCGTAAAATCAAAGTTAGAACAAAAAAGAGCCATTTTGACCTTTTTTTTAATGCCTAAAGTTGCTCAAATGCCTCTAAAGTAAAGTATCAGACAAAGTTAGTTTGTGTCATCGAATCATCAATCTAAAATAAAATTTGATACTGCTATTAGTCTATTACTACATCCGATCTAAATCCCCAATTACAACAAATTGAAAGGAATAAGAAAAAAAGGCACAGAGTTTGACGAAAAAAACCTCAATTTCACACACCAATCATGTCCATGTGGATTGATAATAGGACTTTGCACTAGTAGAAAAAAAGAAATAGGCAACCCCCCTATGGCAACGGTTCATGAAAACCGTTGCCAACTTAAGTAGCGCCATTTTTAATATCCCCCTATGGCAACGGTTAACCGTTGCCAATTGATTAAATTTTTTTTTTTTTTAAAAAAAAAAAAAGGGGTAGAGTTGGCAACGGTTAACCGTTGCCAACTTAAAAAAAAAAACCCTTTTCGCGTTCTCCTCCTTCATTTCCCCTTCAGTTCGCTCACTCCTCCTTCACTTCCTCTTTCACTCTCAAACACCACCCATTTCGCGTTCTACTCCACCATTTCGCTCACTCCTCCTCCATTTCGCTCAATCTTCCTTCATTTCCCCTTTCATTGTCACTCTCCTCCGCTCGTTTCTCTTTCATTCTCACAGACGCCATTTTCGTTCTCTTCCACCATTTTCGTTCTCCCTTACCTCAATTAACAATTCGATTTTATGGAATTTGCTACAATTTACATATTGTTTCGCTAATTTGCTGGATTCGTTGCAAAATTTCTCAATAATTGAGGTAAGAATTGTGAATTTGGTACAAATCGATTTTTAGGTTTTTTTTTCCCAACAATAATCATGTCATATTATATATCCTATCTTGGATTTTCTTTTATTCCAGAAAATTTGTCCCTATAATTGTTATAATTTGTCAATATTTTACTGTAAATTCACTTGAGATGCAAATTGAGTTCAATTGCCTGCTGCTTCGAATGTGGGCAAAACCGACCCTGCTGCTGCTTCGAATGAGGGGAAAATTGACCCTCCTCCGGTGACGATTTCTGAACCCTTATCTTTATTGATTATTTTTTACCGTAATTGTTAATTGTTGGGGGATTAAGAAATTGAGTCCCTGGTTATATGTCAATTTTTTGGTTGTATTGAGAAGGAGGTTTGTATGTACTTGATTGGTTGCCAGTAACATTAGTTGCTGGCCAGGGGGTGTGTGAATTTTGTTGTGGCTGCTGGTATTTTATTTAGTGGAATGAATTTTGGTTGCTGTTGGTATTTGATTTGGTGGACTGAATTTTGATTTGTTGTTGGTATTTGATTTGATGGACTGAGTTTGTTGTTGTTGGTATTTGATTTGCTAGACTAATTTGTTGTGCTTGATTTGGTTGCCAATAACATGCTTTGTGACTCCCTGTTGGGGTTGTGGTGGTTGATTATTTTGCAATATAGTGAGTCCCTTTGTCGTGGTCTGATTTTGCAATATAGAGTCCCTAAGATCTCAATGATTTAATTTGAGAGATCATTCTTGTTACTAAATCTAAATGATGAAGGGACTCAGCTGATTTTGAAATGGCATGTTTGATTTGCTCCAATTATAACATTGTTGAGGTAACAAACAAGATTTCATTTCTTGTGATCAAATTACAATCTCTCTGATGGATTTAAGATGTCACTCATGATTGGTTCAATGTGTACACAAACCTCAAGCCTTCAAAAATATGAGCTTTGTCCTTTGCCATACGGTTGTATTTTTCAAAAACATCAGTGCGTAATCCTCTTACTTGCTCTTTTCTTGTAATCTCAAGCATTAGTCACCTATAAGGCTATCTGTGTTGAGGTGCTGTGTAGGGTCCAGCAGCTTATTGATAATTCCTAGAAGAGAAGCCATTGCAAGTGGCTTCATCTATTAAAGGCCAGGGTGCCTGTATGAGTTTTTTATGGCCTGTTTTGCTAGTGTGCTGGGGGGCTGCTCTAAGCCTAAGGCTTGTGTGGCTGTGTTTCTACCCAGGAAACTCTAAATTCTATAGCTTGCTGAGCTTGCTGGTCTTGCTGTTTGCTATTTGTTTGCTGGTTTTGCTCTGCTCTGTAACTGTTGTTGCTGCTGTTTGGGGTTAGCTGGGTGGATCCTGCTTGTGTGCTGCTGTGAGCCTGTGCTCTGTAGCAGTCTGTTGAGCTGCTGAGCTGGGCTTTGTTTGGTGTGTGTTTGCATTGGTGAAGTCAGGTCCTGGTCTGCTATTTCAATGGCTGGGGGCTGTGGTGCTGGTGGCCTGCTGGGTTCGTCTTGCTGCTACTGTCCATGTTTTTTCTGCCTTGTTGTAGCTGTCCTACTAGTTTCTGTTTTTCTGACGGCTGAGCCTGTGTTGTGGTGCTGCTGATGGTGTCTGTTTTTCTGTTTGCTGTTGCTGCTACTAGTGGAAGCTGATGGATCTGCATGCTCGTGCAGTCTGTGTGCTGGGGTGATGTTGGGGGTTTGCTGGGTTGGTGCAGCTGTTTGGGGGTGCTGTCTGGTGGTTTATTGGTTTGCTGTTGGCTGTGAGTTGTTGTTTCTGTTGCTGCTGGGTGTGTGATTGCTAGTTTGAAGTCTGTTCCTGGGCTGCTGGTCACTGTGTTGCTGCTCAGTTGATGCCCTGCTGTATTTTTGTAGTGAAACGCTGCTGTCTTAGTGTATAGGATGAACCTTGTTTAAATTAAACATATTTAAATATATCCTCATAAGAAGAAATGGCATAAGTTGTTGAAATTCATGTGACACGTGTAAATTGTTCCATACTTAAGTGAACTAAACATATTTGTCGGATTATAAGCTTTAGCAGCTTTCCAAGTGAACTAAGTGATCTTGGGAAGAAATCTCTTATAGGGTTGTAAATAGTGCAAACTTTCATTCTTGTAAAAAATTTACGATATGTCTTTTCTCAAATCAATCATAGTTGTATATTCTTAATTCCCATGCATATATGTAACACAATTTATTAATAATATTGCAGCCAAAAAAAAAAAAAAAAAAACAGGTCAATGGCAACGGTTAACAGTTGCCAATTATTAAAAAAAAAAAAAAAAAAAAATATTGGTCAATGGCAACGGTTAACCGTTGCCAATTGCTTGAGTTGGAAACGGTTAACCGTTGCCAATTGCTTGAGTTGGCAACGGTTTTGAACCGTTGCCAATTGCTTGAGTTGGCAACGGTTTTGAATCGTTGCCAATTATTTTGGGATTTGGCAACCCTCAAATACGCAACGGTTCAAAACCGTTGCCTTTGGGGGGTTTGAACCGTTGCCAATTTGCTCTTTTCGTGTAGTGTTGGCAGTTGGACAAAGGGTAGGATTACCAATAGAGTACCAAAAGCGTCTTTGAGAATATATACCTTTAACATAAATATATTTGTATTGCTTCTACTCTTTAGTAAACAACTTACCATATGATCATGTATTAATGGCTTCATGTTAATTATTACCATTATGCTTGCATTCATTGTTAAGATACTTTTACCAACTTGATTGATGTTAAAATAGTAAGCTTCCTTCAGTGATAATCATAATTAGAAATGTAAATTACTATCAAGGCCGTCCTTGAGGGATGACCCTGGTAAAAAGAACCTGCGTGGTCATATCAGGCCATCTGGATCATACATACCCTGCTGGGGTGTGTACCTTTGCGCCCTTCCCACTTCCCACACGCTTTGGCCCCATCATCTTAATAAGAAATCAAAACTAATACTTCCTCCGTTTCTAATTAGATGACACGTTTCTTTTATCACGTTTGCCAACGCATAATTTTAACGATTTATATCTCCCATTATCAACATAGTAAAGTATGATGATTGCTGTATAGGAGAACAAAGTAGCATATGTTGAATGATCTGCCTTTATTATTTACAGGTTGACGAAAGCAATGCTGATACCAAAGAGGGCGAAACAGAAGTGAGGTCCAGAGATATCGGATCAATGATTTCTAGCCCAACAAAGCGTAAGAGCAACAAATCAGAAAAATTGTCTGCACAAGCCTCACCATCATCCTCAGTGGTCCAGACTCCAACAGCCGAAGGTTCTTCCAGCCTGAACATCAAGTTTATCCCGGGAGTTGCATTGGTGTCCATAGTTCTTGGTGTGATCCTAGGGAAAAGATATTAACTTTCGCTTTATTATTATCTGATTGAATTCTGGCTTTATTTATTCAAGATTGGTGAATTGATATAACTCAAGTCTTCAAATTGGTGGTTGTTAAGTTTTAGTTTTATGTCCACCAAGAAGCAGTTTTTGGTTATGTAATTATCACTTGGTTATTTAATGGTGGTGATTTTCTTTTTATATAATTATTTTGGATTGCAAAATTTGTGAATTTTGGGAGTTGGGAAATGATATTCATGAAAATATGCCTTCCACTAATAGAATGTTATTTTCGTTGGTTTGTATAAAAATGTTATAGAAGTTTTTAGCTTTTAAATTTTTTTTGTTTTTGTTGTCCACACGATTTGCTATTTTATCATTCAATAATTCAAATAATAGAACCATATAGTAACACTAGATTCAGTAAGGCAATAATCTCCTCAACACTCAGCACTTACAAGACTACTGACTAGATGTGATGTAGCAGGACTTGATTGCATGTCATCCAAAATCTTATTGCATTATTTTTTCTTTTTCGGAAATTCATTTAAAATACGTCTTGATCGATTTATACTTTAGCATGGAAAAGTAAATATCGGCATGAATTAAGTTCAATTCATATTAGTGATATAACCTAGATGATTTTAATTAGAGGAAACACACTACACACCCTTATGAAAAGCTTTTGTTTTCTTAATTGAATTTGCATGAATTATGAAAATTTTGGAAGATGTATAATACTTCGATAAGTATTTATGGAGTATTCATTTGAAGATATATTAACTTTAGCTAAGGAATGTTGCTACTACGCTATCACCAACAAGCATCCAAATAGATGCATAGCAAAAGGAGCAAAGTTAGGCAAATATGGTCCATATCAAGAGCATATACTTTGGTTGTGGTAGATGAGAAGTTCTACCAATTTAATAGCCACATCCGATCATACAAAAGTACGATTTTCAAATAAAGCTTAAAAATAGGTTGATTATTACATTAGCTCAAATTTGGGTCGCTAATAATGTCATAAACTAACTTTGTTAAATCGCATTTGAACTAAACTATCCTTTAATGTAGAAGATCATCCACATGCATGTGTACAACAATTTTGGCACACCAAAAATAATTTTATTGGGTCGATTTCAAGTCAGATTAAGATTCACAAGTTCTAGTGATAAAAATAGCTAAGAGTAAAAACATGAAATAGAAACAAAAATCACTATACGTTCTAGATAGATTGCACTCTTCAGTCTACACCCCCACATTCCCAGTTTCCCACTATGCATGTACACATTTACACAACACAAATCATTCGTACAGATAATCATATCCAAATAAAAAGCATATATGCTTCATTTGAGTTTTCCTAGATTACAACTATTGTAATTGAAGTAGAGGGAATCTCAAACAAAAACATCACAATAATGGCAGACAGCTAAATCAGAAATTGTTCACAAAATGTGTAATTTACACTATTTGGAATAATCAATAATGTGGCCTTATTACAAACAAACAATGATTACTAGAATTAGTGTGTGTGTGACCATACCAATTCTTCTAGAGTCCTACACATATAGAAGTAGCCAAATTGGTCCCCTTATGTTTTGAGAAAAAGAAAAAAGTTTAACTCGAGTTCGTGGTGAATGTGGATCAACGAGCTAACAAGATTTGGTTAGCCCCAATAATATAACTATTGAGAGTCTATGATACATAAGTTACCGATAAAGAAAAAACCTGAATTCGTGAAATCACTATTTTGCTTTTGAATATATATCTCGAAGATGCTTCTCATAGTTAAGAAAATACAATTAAATTCAACTCAAGCTTGAAAAGTGTAACACCTTTTGATCACAAACTTTTTTAATAGGAGTACAAAAAAAGAATCCAATTTCTCAAAAAGTAACATGTACCTTTCCTTACTTTATCCCCTCAATTATTTTCGAAACATTTACACAACTTTTGATCATCTTTATGTACTTCTTCTCTACCACCCAATATTCATCCAATAATCAATAATTCATCCATTCCAATCAAACTTTGTAATATGAACATATAATCATACTTTAATTCCCCATGATATTACTATTATTAGTAACACAACTATAATTAGAAGGTTGCCAAGCTGAGGCAGTAAGCAAAGACATACCCTTCCACCCTAACCTTAAACACCCATTTTCCTCCATCAATGTGTACCCTTTCCATGGGAACATCTCTAACAACAAACTCGCCTGCGCAGCCGGGCTACCAGAAAGCGACACTGGCTCAAACCCGAAACGACTAAGGTTGTCCCCCCACCGGCGGCTTACATTCAACCCATCAACATCATCACACGCTAGGATGTTCCTTATCTCGCTCCCAAATAGTTGCTGCTCCACTTGATGACGTAATACATTGTCTCTACTCAATCCCTCACCTAAGGCATCAAACATAGCCGAATAATAATGCAATGTTTCTATAAACCTCTCCAAAAACGACCCCGTTTCGAAAATGTCAATGTTTTGAGTGACCATGGTAACTAACTTAGGCTTTACCGTACTCAATACCCTCAACAATCCGAAATTAGACCCAATTATATCATACAATTTATGATGCATACAATGCACCACGGTCGCCTCATTCGCTCGAAAATCGATTCGACTCAACTCTAACTCGGACATGTCCCCGAACTTACCCTCAACGGGGTTAAACTTAAAGGGCAACCCGAGCGAGGCGGCGAACTGGGCGAGCCGAGAGCCAGTCTGAGCGAGCAACTCCGAGGACGGGCCGAACCCGGTGAGTCTCACCGAGCTAACCTTCTTCGCACGAGAGGCCAAGATGTGGAACAAACCAGGCCACTGGAGACCCTGCATAACATCAAGATCAATGATGTGGACTCGATCGAACCCGTGAACAGCCTCGAAGATGGCTTGATTGGCGGTAAAATGAGAGAATTTGACGAAGGGTGCGAGAGAGTTAAACGTTTGTAAAGCGGAATGAAAGGTTTTAAGTTGGGAGGACAGAGTGATGGATTTGAGAAGGAGGTGACGTGGAGGAGAGAGAAAGTGAAGGAAGAGACGAGAGTGGAGAGAGTGAGCGAAGAAGGCGGCGATACGGTCAGCGGGAGAGGAGGCGAAAGGGGACGAGAGGTGGAAGATTTCGGGGAGGAGGTCGGTGGCGGAGGCGGCGTTGTTGGATGAGACGAGATGGGCGCATTTGAGGAGGAGGGAGAGGAGGTGGAGGGAAGTGGAGGAGTCTGAAGGGGTGAGTGTGTGCATGATGAGGGGATTTCTTGAGTGTTAAAGATGAGACTATGAGAGTAGAGAAAGTGAGTGATGTTATTAGGAATAAGGAGGTGGCTTTTTGGAGAGGAGAATTGACTACACTGGAGGTAGAGACAAGATTACTGTGTTATCTTTTGGACTTTCAGTCATGTTTTTCTACACAAGGAAGATTCACGGCTTGCTTTAGTTTAGGATCAACTAGAGGTAATCAAAGTTAGCTCGGCCGATTTTTGGCAGTTTTTTGGGCTGAAATCAGCCCGGCCTAATTTTTTTTTGGGCGGGTTTGGGAATACGTTTTTATGCATATTTAGTTGATTTTTTTAGGTTCGGCCTGAAAATGGCCCGAAAAGCCCGCACGGTCCGACCATTTTTAGCGGGTTTGGGCACAAAAAATCTGGCCCAAAGCTTGACCCGACTCGAGAAGTGGGCATAATTTTTCAGCTTCGGCCCAGCCCGCCCAATGATCACCTCTAGGATAACCTTTATTACTCCCTCTATTTTTTGTGCAAATTGCAACTATCTAAAATATGTATTTTGTAAATTACAACTATTTAAAAAAAAATTATAACATATGTGCCTTAATTTACGTACTAAAGATAATGTAAACGAAAAATGACTCCTAAAATAAGGCTCTCGTGAAGAGGTGTGAATACACCAACCACCTCTACACTTTGATCACTCTCAACAAATTCATTGCCACCACTATCACCATTGTTGATCATCATGCACCGCCTCATTTGGAGTTTGCCACATGGATTGCAAATGTGAAAAAACAGCACTTATGCAACGTACCCTTCATGTAGGCCGAGATTTATGTACATGGTGTAGGAAATCACCTTTACACTTGTTTTAAAACTAAGCTATTTAGGAAATACTAAGGCTTCCTATTTAAATCTCTGTTTCCTATTTAAGTCTCTTTTTCTCAAAACCAAAACTTCTTTGATTAGAAACTATTAAAAAAAAAAAACTTAAAGGGTTTTGGAAAACGTAGCTCAACTCCGTAAGTTAACAATGTTTGAAAGTAGAGGTATTTATATTTGCTATTTTGCCCCTTAAGAATCTAAATTCAGCTTGAAATCGATAAAAAATAACGTAATTGTCTCATTTTACTTTTTTTTTTATGCTAAATCCAAGCTCAATTTAGACCATTAATGACCAATGCCCCCCGACGCCTTTAAAAAACCTTTTTTAATCACGTAATTCTAGAAGAAAAAAAAAGTAACCCCATTAACGACCACATAATAACAAGGTTACCATATACAAATAGCTACGAAGTACTAATTATAGTAGAGGGGTACAATATGTAACGTATTAAAAGAGAGGGCGCACAACTTTAAAACACACAATATTATAGGATTACTAAGAGCATCCACAATGGTTGTGCATAAGGACCTACTAGCAATTTCTAAATAATTGCTAGCTACGTGCTAGCCATTGTGGAGCTACAACCTCTTGTAGCTAAGCCAAACTACATAGCTCTATAGAGCTATTTAGTTTCACTCCACCCAATGCTATTATATTTATTTGTTTAATATATTTTATGTATTTGTTTGTTTATTTATTATTATTTTATGGTTTATTTATTACAAAATAATGTAGCTTACCATTGTAGAGGCTGTAGCTTAAATCATATAGCTTGGAGATTTATGATGTGGCAACCCAAATTTACATGTACATGTAGCTAGCCATTGTGGATGCTCTAAGGAATTTTCCAAAAACGTTTTAATTTTGGCAAATTTTCCTATTTATTAATCATAGAATCCGATAGATACAATGATACATAATTAAACGGGGTGACGTAGACCTGTCTGTCCTCCTCTGTTGAAGCACACTCCACGTTCTCCTTTGAGTCAATCCTCCATTGAAGCAGCTTTTGAGGTAAGTAAGATGTTGTTTCTTCTTGTAATCACCAAATATAAATTTCACAATCTAGGGTTTCTCGTTTATTTAGGTCTCACTATACTCAATTTAGGGTTCTTCTATACACGAATAATGAATAAATTGTTATAATTATTTAGGTTAAGAAATATCAGAACGAACGATTTTGTTGCTAGAGTAGAATATTATGTGATATTCAACCCTAATTTGATGACTGAATTAATTAAATTAGTACTAATTCATATTCCTCTGTAGCAATTTGCTCTTTGTTTTAGTGTCTGTCAACTATACAAGATGGAATCTGAAGAAAAAAAGAGAATGAGGGGATCATTATAATCTATAGAGACAAATAAGTGGGCTCGTACACATGATGTGCATGTTAGAAGTGAACTAGTGGTTGAAATTCTATTGTCAGTCTCTATAACAACAGCGGAAGCAGGGGATTGTGGGAAGTCTATGGATATATATATGTCTATGACGCTGTTAAAAGTAGTAGCGAGTCTTATATCTATGAAAGATACTTAGGAGATGATGATACTGAGATAATCACTTTCCATGGGGGTACATTAAGCCTCACAAGGCCTGATGACGTTATGTCAATGGATGAACCAACCATTTTTATTGATATTTGGGACAAAATATCAGGTGAAACCATTATTAATCGGTTTGCCTCTCTTGATAAGACTATTGATACTGGTAAACAAGATCATCAGTTTGAACAATTCAAAAAACTTGTGGTTTGTGGCACTAGTTCTGCAGAGATGGAGTATCTTGCTTTGACTTTTGGTGTTTTTGCTCCTATTGATGTCCGACTCGTTAAACAACAAGTTTCGGGAAGTGGGAGCAACAAATTAGAAGAAGAACAAGAACTTGAGGTTTATGGGACAATTTATGCTACTTATAATCTCTTATATTCTGAAAATAAAGTTAATCGCATTGTCCTTTTTGAGATTAAGGAGGATTCTAATGAGTCTGAACCGGTGACATTGGGGCTTCCTATAATTATGTCTAGATCTGTTGTGGCTGTGCTGACATATTCATCTATCACAGTTCAAGTAGAATTGTGGGATCGTGCTACAGAGTTGCATAATTCAGAGTATCCAAAGGTAACCGACTGCTTTCTTTACACTTTTCTTTGTTTTTCTTTTTCGAAAATGGTAGCACAAAAGCACCCGGCACGGCCTAGGTTAGTGATCAACCGGTCACCGGGGACGGCTGAATCTAGAACTAGGAGTGCCGCCTGCCCCCTGCTGGACCACCCTTTGCGAACTAGGAGTCCGACTGTCTCTGTGTCTGTGCAGGACACCATGGCCAGAACTAAAGAACAGCAAGAATCACAAATTCAGACGGCTCTTCATATTACATCCCTGTTAGCGAGGTTTCGGATGTGCCGCCTGGTGCACCCAGCACCCCAAACGACTCAATCTTAAGAGAGTCTGAAAAGGAGGCTGAGAGTGCGCCCCTCTCTATTGACCTATCAGAACAGGCGGTGGGTGCGCCTGAAAGTTCAAGTGACTCAGAGACGAGCACGTCCAGTCGGTACTCTGCCGACTCCGAGGAAAAGCATTCTCGATTGCATGAGGCGAGAGAAAGTCTCGCTGTTGAAAGGGGAGACGGCTGGGCTGAGTCGTCTGCTTCAAGAAGAGAGTCGCATACTCCTTATTTCTGCCATGTTCCAAGAGGCAGAGCCAAGGTAATGGCTGAGAGACTGGGGAGCTTTGTTTCTGAATTTTTTATGGGCCGAGACTTCATTCTTCATGTGCCGGATGCCGAGGATACAGTCCTCTGGCCAGCTAAAGCCAGTTACGGGGACGAGTGTTTTGGCTGCTATGAGGCGGCTATCAGGGCTGGTCTAAGATTTCCTCTACATCCGCTATAGAGAGGATATTGGACGGGTACCAGATTGGCCTTTAGCAGTTGGCCCCAAACTCTTGGTTCAACATCCTCGGCTTCGTAGCCGCCTGTGAAATGTATGGGGTAGACGCCAGTTTTGAAGCGTTTGCCCACATGAATTACCTCAGCCGGACCCCTAAAGCAAGCGGTATCGGCTGGTACTAAATTACTAGCCATAAAGGCTATATGATGACAATGGGGAAGGAAAATAAATGGAAGGATTGGAGGAACACCTTCTTCATTGTCTCCAGCCCCAACAAAATCCAAAACCAAAAGTTTAATAGGTGGAATAGAGATCCACCCCTCCTAGCAGGCGCCTCGGTCCTGCCGCCTGTCACTAGTAGAAAAAACTAAATAGGCAACCCCCCTATGGCAGCGGTTCATGAAAACCGTTGCCAACTAAAATGATCGCCAATCAAAATTTCAGAGTTGGCAACGGTTAACCGTTGCCAACTGATTATTTTTTTTTTAAAAAGAAAAAAAAAATAAAAGGGTTAGAGTTGGCAACGGTTAACCGTTGCCAATTGATTATTTAAAAAAAAATAATAAATAAATAAAAGGATTAGTGTTGGCAAAGGATTAGTGTTGCCAATTAATAAAAAAAAAATTTGGGCTCCTTTTATTCTTTCCCTAAATAAATCATTCTCGTTCTCTCTCATCTCCCTCAAATTCATTCTCGTTCTCTCTCATCTCCAATTCATTCAGAGCTCCTTCTCTCTCATCTCCCTTATAATTATCTCCATTATCTTGCATGCACCTCAGATCTCTCCAATTCATATTCGCAAGGTATTTTTTTAGAATTTTTTTGGTTTTTTTCGTGTTTTAATTTCTGGGTTCGAAATTTTTTCGTTTTTTTGGGGTTTTTCTAGGTTTGAATACTTGGTTTTTTTTTTTGTTTTTTCTGGATTTTTTTCTCGGTTTCTTAGTTTCTTGAATTTTTTGGGTTTTTTGGGTTTAAATTTCTGGGTTCGGATTTTTTTTTCGAACTTTTGGGTTAGAATTCCTTTGGTTTTTTCTGGGTTTTTGGGTTCGGATTGTTTTCTGGGTTTCGAATTTGCATGCACCTCAGATCTCTCCAATTCATATACGCAAGGTATTTTTTAGAATTTTTTTGGTTTTTTTCGTGTTTTAATTTCTGGGTTCGAAATTTTTTCGTTTTTTTTGGGATTTTTCTAGGTTTGAATACCTGGTTTTTTTTTTTGCTTTTTCTCGATTTTTTCTCGGTTTCTTAGTTTCTTGAATTTTTTGGGTTTTTTTGGGTTTAAATTTCTGGGTTCGGATTTTTTTCGAATTTTTAGGTTCGAATTCCTTTGGTTTTTTCTGGGTTTTTGGGTTCGGATTGTTTTCTGGGTTTCGAATTTGATTGGTTCGAATTTTTTTGGTTTTTTCTGTTTAAATTTCTGGGTTTCTAGGTTCGGATTTTTTCAGAATTTTCTAGGTTCGAATTCCTTTGGTTTTTTCTGGGTTTTTTTGTTTCTAGTTTTTTTTGTTAGTTTTTTCTGGGTTTATTAGGTTCTAGATTAAAACGTAACAATGGTTTTTTTCTTTGTTTAATGTTCTGGGTTTATTAGTTTCCAGGTTATTGGTTTGAATTTTTTTCTGATTTTTATTGGGGTTTTAATTTAATTGATGCAGGTAGTATTACAACTACAACGATTGCTCATAGACGAAGGATTCAAGATTCAAGGATTTGGTGTTTTGTTGTTCATTGTTACATTTTTATTTATATAATTTTTTTTATAAATTGTAAAATAACAATTTATTTAATATAATATATTCAGGTATATTATGGTGTTCATTGTTTTTCTGGTGTTTTGTTGTTCATTGATACGATTCTGGTGTTTTTTTTTTTTGGTTTAAACGATTATGGTGCAAGTTTATGCTGATTTTGAACTGTAAAAAAAAAAAAAAAAAAAAAAAAAAAAAAAAAAACTGGTGCAAGTCAATGGCACCGGTTAACCGGTGCCAACTGCATTAAATTTAATTAAAAAAAAAAGGCGCCATAGCAATTGGCAACGGTTAACCGTTGCCAATTTGTTGAGTTGGCAACGGTTAACCGTTGCCAATTGCTTGAGTTGGCAACGGTTAACCGTTGCCAATTGCTTGAGTTGGCAACGGTTAACCGTTGCCAATTGCTTGAGTTGGCAACGGTTTTGAACCGTTGCCAATTATTTTGGGATTTGGCAACCCTCTAATACGCAACGGTTCAAAACTGTTGCCAATTTGCTCTATTTGTGTAGTGTGTTCCTCAACAGACAAAGGAGGAAATCCTGGACAGAGGGCTGTTCCAGGTAATTATACAGGCGAACCCTCAAACTGGGGCAAGGGAGTTCATTCCCAAATACTACATTCCCAAATACAAATGGTTGTATGAGGGAATGTACTTGGCCGCCTGTGGCCTAAGTTTAGAGATGCCGAGAGGTAGCTGACCGCCTGTTTTCATTGTCTTGCTAGACTTAGGATTTTTTATCGTTTACTAACCAACTTGTTTATCCTTTGCAGACAGAGCTATGCAGAAGATTTCAGCATCCAAGAAAGCAGCCGCCCAGCTCCGGGCAACCGTCCTCGGCAAAAGGACGACTAAAGAGTCGCCTGCGAAACAGGCGCCTAAGGTGAGCCTTTGTAATTTACCTCAACTCTGTATGGCTTGCCGCCTGTTTTGAAGCTGATTTTCTAAGTGTTGCATTTTTTGTAGGGCAACGCTCCAAAGCCATCCTCTTCGTCCTAGCCTGATCCTAAAATAAGGAAACAGGCGGCTGGGGACGTGTCAACCCCAGGCAATACCAAGCGGCCTGGGGCAGAAAAGCATGGGAAAACTCCCCCTAAAATCCCTGTTACCCCTGGTAGCAGCCAGAAGGATAAGGAAGCGGCCAGAGGTAAACTTGAAGCGCTTTCGTTTTCCACTTTGTAGCCGCCTGCTTTGAATCAGGCGGTCTTTTGTTTTCATTGATGTTAACTAACCAGCCTTCATTTTGCAGGCGGCCCTGAGGAGCCTGATTTGGTCCAAATGGCCAAGGCCATGCTTAAAGCAATCCCTGTTGAGGCCAGGGATTCTATTAAGGGAGTCGGCACCCTTAACCTAGAAGCAATCCTCGCCCTTCTCGCCGAGGTATACTTGGCACAATTATTTATTTTTTTTTATATATTTGGTCGCCTGTTTTTCTGACGACTGCTTTTTGTTTCGGCCGCCTGCAGTTGATATACATGTTTTATGTTATGTTTTTCTGCAGTTTTACTTAGTAAATTTATATAATTTTGAGCTCTACGGAGCCATTTCTTGCTAACAATCTCTTCTTTAGTGTTTTCGATTGTTTTAGTAAGCTTTTCAGGAATATGAAGCGTTTCTAGGCAATTGGACGTGTTTTCAGTAGATTCGGAAGAGTTGATAGCCAAGAACTGCATCTTATGTGGAGTGCCCGACCGGGCATGGCTTGCCCGGGCAAACCAAGCAATGAAGAGTTCACAGAATAAGCCCAACTTTGATCAGTGCAATGCGCGCCCGATCGGGCAGGCTTCGCCCGGTCTGACCGGGCGATGAAGAAATCAAAGTATGGCGAATGCAATTCCGGAAGTCTGCTACGCGCGCCCGACCGGGCGAGGTTCGCCCGGTCTGACCGTGCAAAGAAGGAAAAAGTGTTGTACTTTACGCAGCCTTCCTCCGCCCGATCGGGCGAGGTCCGCCCGGTCTGACCGGGCGATGTTCAAGATTGTGCGATTTCAGCTATTTCCGAAATTCTATCTTTTGGGGGTATAAATACCCCTTTATAATTAACTTTTTGACAGTTAGTTTTTTATTAGCTTTCTCCCTAAGCCCTAGAAACTCTCAAGAACCCTAGTTTTATTTTCTTTAAGTATTTCAATCTTTAATCCTAGATTTGTTAATTGTTCTTCAAGAATTCAAGTTTTTCAATCGGAGTAATTGGTAATTATTTTATCTCTCTCTTGATTATTCATTGTTCTTTAAATATGTTTTCTTTATTGTTTCTTGATCTTGATTTTGATTTTGTTATTATGTGTGAGTAGTCCTTTAATCCGGGATCTTGCTAAGCCCGATTATGATTGATGTATAAAGTAGATCTTTAAATTCCCCAATAATAATCCCAATTGACATGCTTAATTGATTGTGTTCATGCCAATGCTAGATTAGGGATAATTAGTATTGTTATTATCCCATTGTTATTAGGTCAACGGAAGTTGGGTAATAACGGGATTAGGGTATTTCGATTAAGGGTTTGAAGATCATCACGGAAGTAGATGATTGAATAATTAGGAATCTAGGCGTGGTGTTTAATGTCCCTTATTCGCTTGATTCCACGGAAGTAGGTTTGATTGTTAATTTGGGAAGCCATTGATAACTCGGAAGAGACCTTTGGTATTATTAGGGATTGCTTTTCTTCTTGTCAATTGATTTATATATTGGGGGTAGATTTATTAGTTATTGATCATAATCGTGGTAATGCTTGATCTTGGATGTCTTAGTCTATTGATTACATCTTTGATAGTTTAATTGCGTTATTTAATATCTTAGTTGATTATTATCATCCATTATTGATTGGTCACGTGTTTAGTAATTACTTAAGTCTGATTAATTGAGTGAACCATAGTCTCTTGGGATTCGATCCTTACTTGCCCTACTACATAGTTAGAAGGAATAGTTAGGTTATTTTTGTTAGGTACGCGATAAGCCTATCAAATTTTGGCGCCGTTGCCGGGGACTAACGGTTTCATATTAATTATTCGTGATTCGTTTTCACTAAGCTTTATTTGTTGCTTCGGCTATTGTTCCTTGTGTTTTTGATACTCTTTTTCTAGTCCTTGTTGCATGCAAACACGACGTTCAGGGTCAGACGATTTAGCACCTTTTGATTCTAAAATCGAAGCAACTGCAAGGAGACGTAGAGGTAGAAGAAGAGGGGGAAATCGAAACATGGACGATCCAGCAACAAAATCTCTTTTGGAGTACGGTATTCCTGATACAACAACCGGACTCCTTTCTAGCATTGTCAGACCTCCTGTCACTGCTCAGAATTTTGAGTTGAAACCTCAGTTCATCCAATTCATATCCAATGACTCATTTGCTGGGACACCTCACGATTGCCCAGTAAATCATATAGATGGTTTCTTGGAAAAGTGTGACACTATGAAGTTGAATGGTGTTACAGATGATGCTCTTAGACTTCGCCTTTTTCCTTTCTCGCTACGGGATAGCGCGAAGGAATGGTTAAGAGATGAAGGCTCTGGTTCCTTTGATACTTGGGACAAACTGGTAAAGGCTTTTCTGGTCAAGTTCTTGGGACAAGAAAAGACTGCGAGGTTGAGGAATGAATTGTCCACTTTCAGGCAATCAGATGAAGAGTCCTTATATGACGCATGGAGGAGATTCAAGCGTTTGCAGAGACAATGCCCTCATCACGGTATTCCTGAATGGATGTTGATCCAAACTTTCTACAATGGTTTGACCCATGAGTTCCAAATTTACATAGACGCCGCATCGGGAGGCTCCCTTTTGACTAAGAACCCAACTGAAGCAAAGGAGCTAGTTGAGAAGATGTCAGCTAGTTGAGAAGAGGTCAAGGTCTGAGTGCCAAGACCAGGCGGCTGATAACAAAGACCCTCCTACTGCTTGAAGTTTTAATTTTTGTCAACTTAAACTGGCCTGCGTGCCGCATGTTTCATTACCCGACCGAGGGGTCGGGGTGTATCAACAATCTCACATTTTAACATTTTAGTCGGCCATAAGGCCGGCTGTTTTTATCAAGCATCCGGCTTTTTTAGTCGGTTTTCTTCAAATTTTGTTGCATGCTTCAATCTTTATTTTTTTTTCGAATTTTTGCTAAGTATATTTAGCCTTTCAATGAATGTTCATCATCCGATTGTTTGTATACCGACTGTTTTGCATGCCGGCTGCTATGTCCCTGGGCGACTGGCGCCTGATTTTTAAGGGTGAGCTGATTGACTCAGAATTTTTGATACTTGAAGAGTATGACTAATTCTGGGTCAATCAATCACTATGGTGATTGCCCCAAACCAGGCGTCCAGTCGGCCAAATACCAGGCGACTGGTAAGTACCAGCCGACCACTCGGCGGTAGTTTGGCGAGGTGCCCTTCTGAAGTGGCTTTAGCCTGGTAAACATTCCAAGCTTAGTCGGTCTAGGGATCAGGCGGCTAGTTTGAAGAACTAGTCGTCCAGTCGGCCCTTTCCGTCTATTTGTTGTTTGTTAAAACAAGCGCCTATCAAGAAATTCATAACCAACTTTACATATGACGCATGGAGGAGATTCAAGCGTTTGCAGAGACAATGCCCTCATCACGGTATTCCTGAATGGATGTTGATCCAAACTTTCTACAATGGTTTGACCCATGAGTTCCAAATTTACATAGACGCCGCATCGGGAGGCTCCCTTTTGACTAAGAACCCAACTGAAGCAAAGGAGCTAGTTGAGAAGATGTCAGCTAATGACAACTATCATCCAGGCGGCCGAAACAATGTGAAAAAGGGAGGTAAATTAGATGTGGATGCTCTAACTCTTTTGGCTAGTTCTGTGCAGGCACTATCAAACAAGTTCGATAAACTGCAAACTGGATCCTCCGCTAATGTGCTTGAAACATGTCAAATGTGCAACACCCAAGGCCACATCGCTCCCAATTGCCCACAAAACTCCAATGAAGTATCTATTGAGGAAGCCAATGCCTTCTATAATTCCAACCCGAAAAGACCATATGATCCCCATTCGAACACATATAATGAAGGTTGGAAGCACCACCCAAATTTCTCCTACAAAAACACCCAAGCCCAACAAAATCCACCTCCACCACCACCCCGAAACAACAACTATAATCCACCTGGTTTTCAACCAAGACCACCCCTAGTTCAACAACCTATGGAACCCATGCACCAACCCCCTCAAAAATCCAATCTCGAGCTAATGATGGAGGACTTCGTTAACACAACTAACAATTCCATCCAACAGCTGCAAGCCCAAAATAAGCTCATGGAAAACCAGTTAAGTCAACTTGCCCACCAAGTTGGCCAATCTTCAAAAACGTCGGGAACCTTCCCGGGCCAAACTGAGCACCAAAAAAGGGGCACATGAATGTTGTGTTTTTAAGGAGTGGGAAACAGTTAGAAGGCATTCCCGAAAGGGAACCATCAAGAAGGGATGTTGAGGGACAAAGCGAAGGAGAGAACCAGCGAAGTTCTTCTTCGCCTGGTCAGACCGGGCAAAGCCCGCCCGATCGGGCGCGAGAAGATACTTCAAAAATGCAGGGAAACCAGCGAAGTTCTTCTTCGCCCGGTCAGACCGGGCAATCCTTGCCCGACCGGGCACGTGTTCAAAACAGCTTAAATGAAGAAAACGAAAAGCAGCCTGAAGTTCGGGAAGAGCCACGGGAAACGACTCCACCTCTCGCCCCATACGTGCCAAGAGTCCCTTTCCCGCAGAGGTTAGCCCAGGCTAAGTTAGAGAAAAAGTACGGTAAATTTCTAGACATCCTTAAGAAACTTCACATTAATATACCGTTCTTGGATGCAATTTCTGAAATGCCTTCTTATGCAAAGGTTTTGAAAGACATGCTATCTAATAAGAAAAAGCTTGCAGAGAATGCTACTATTTCTCTAACTGCGGAATGTAGTGCCATTCTGCAAAACATTCTTCCTAAGAAATTAGGTGATCCAGGCAGCTATTCAATCCCAGTGAAGCTCGGAGATATAGAGATCAATAGAGCGCTATGCGATCTTGGTGCAAGTGTGAGCCTTATGCCGCTCTCCATCTGCGAAAAGCTTCAAATGGGTGAGTTAAAGCCTACAAGGATATCTCTGCAACTTGCAGACAGGTCAGTTAAATTTCCCCTCGGTATACTTGAAGATGTTCCATTGCGAGTTGGTAAATTCTTTATTCCATGTGATTTTGTTGTTATGGAAATGGAAGAAGATGCCCATGTCCCTATTAATCTTGGTAGACCATTCTTAGCTACTGCAGGTGCAATTATTGACATGAAGAATGGGAAAATAACATTTAAAGTAGGGGATGAGAAAATGGAGTATTCCCTATTGAATGCCATGGGAAATCCGTCCATGGGTGAGACTATTTGTCAAGTGGATGTCCTCGATGACTTACAACAAGAGCAACTCCCCCTGATCAAAAAGGAAGATGCTCTTGAAACGGTGTTGATAGGAAGTATCCATGATGAAGATTGGGAAACAAGGGAGTACACAAGGTTACTAGAGGACGCAAAAGCTAATCCAATCACCGCTCCAGTCAAGGAAGTCCTCAGTGCATCAAGTGTTGGGGAGAGTACTACGCCTCCCGAGGTATAGTTGAAACCCCTTCCCTCTAATCTTAAGTATGCATATCTTGGTCCGAATAACACATACCCTGTCATCGTCAATGCTGAACTCAATAACAACGAATTGGAGCAATTGCTTACTGTTTTGAGAAAATATAAGAAAGTCATTGGGTACACCATTGATGATATTAAGGGTATCAACCCATCTTTTTGTATGCATAAGATCATTCTTGAGGATGATCATACCTCTTCTCGAGAACCTCAAAGAAGGCTTAATCCAGCTATGATGGAAGTAGTCAAGAAAGAGGTTCTTAAATTGCTTGCTGCAGGAATAATCTACCCTATCTCAGATAGTAAGTGGGTTAGTCCCGTACAAGTAGTACCAAAGAAAGGAGGTATGACCGTTGTCAAGAATGACAAAGGTGAGCCTGTTGCCACGAGAACTGTTACAGGGTGGCGAATGTGCATTGATTACAGGAAATTAAATAAGGCCACCCGGAAAGATCATTTCCCCTTACCTTTCATTGATCAAATGCTTGAACGTTTGGCTAAGCATTCCTTTTTCTGTTACTTGGATGGATATTCCGGTTTTTTTCAAATTCCTATCTGCCCTTGTGATCAGGAAAAGACTACATTCACATGTCCATATGGCACCTTTGCATACCGCAGAATGTCATTTGGACTGTGCAATGCTCCAGCCACGTTCCAACGGTGTATGATGGCTATTTTCTCAGGTCTCATAGAAAATTCTATGGAAGTTTTTATGGATGATTTTTCAGTTTATGGTACATCTTTCGATATTTGTCTTGAAAATCTAACAAAGGTGCTCCATAGATGCCAGGATGTTAATCTGATACTGAACTGGGAAAAGTGCCATTTTATGGTACAACAGGGTATTGTTTTAGGTCATGTGGTGTCAAACAAGGGAATCGAGGTCGATAAGGCAAAAATTGAGGTCATAGAGAAACTTCCACCTCCGAACTCTGTGAAAGGAGTTCGAAGTTTCCTTGGCCATGCAGGTTTTTATCGTAGGTTTATTAAGGATTTCTCAAAAATTGCTCGACCCTTAACTGAATTATTAGCTAAGGACGCCCCATTTGACCTTAATGATGCTTGTCTTGAAGCTTTCAACAGGTTGAAGGAAGCTTTAATCTCTGCTCCTGTGATGCAACCCCCAGTTTGGACCCTACCTTTCGAGATCATGTGCGATGCTAGTGATTATGCAATAGGGGCCGTCTTGGGGCAGCGAAAGGACAAGAAATTGCATGCTATATACTACTCTAGTAAATCTCTTAACCCTGCTCAAATGAATTATGCAACAACTGAAAAAGAGATGCTAGCTGTTTTTTATGCAATAGACAAGTTCCATTCATATTTGGTCGGATCGAAAGTAATCATTCATACAGATCATGCAGCATTGAAATATCTGATGAGCAAGAGTCATGCCAATCCGCGATTGATTAGATGGATCCTCCAACTGCAGGACTATGATATAGAGATCAGAGATACGAAGGGAACAGAGAATGTCGTCGCAGACCATCTTTCTCGCCTCCTCCTCGATGAAGTGGATGGGGATAACCTCCCTTTTGATGACTCTTTTCCTGCTGAGCGTTTGTTAGCTCTTTTACAGGTTGAATCCCCTTGGTATGCTGATTTAGCTAACTATCTTTCTACAGGTACAATGCCTCACAGTTATTCCTATCAACAACGGAAGAAATTCCTTTATGAGGCACGCCGACACTTTTGGGAGGACCCTTTCTTGTACAAACTATGTGTCGATGCAGTAATCAGACGGTGCATTCCCGAAAGTGAGGTAAGCAATATAATTTCTCATTGCCATGACTTACCTTGTGGTGGACATGCAGGTCCCTCGAAAACTAGTGCAAAGATTCTACAATGCGGGTTTTATTGGCCTACCATGTTTAAGGATGTGTACTCCTATGTCAAGGCCTATGATCGCTGTCAACGAACTGGAAATATTTCCAAGAGGAACGAGATGCCACTCAACAACATACTCGAGGTCGAGTTGTTCGATTTGTGGGGGATAGACTTCATGGGTCCTTTCTCTTCCTCTAAGGGGAATCGATACATTTTGGTAGCCGTTGACTACGTGTCAAAATGGGTTGAGGCTATTGCTACACCAAGCAACGATGCCCGTGTGGTAAGTAAATTCTTCAAGAAAAATATTTTCAATAGATTTGGTATCCCACGTGTGTTGATTAGTGACAGGGGAACACACTTCATGGAGAGCCGATTCGAGGCAATGTTGAAGAAATATGGAGTGCAGCACAAACTTGGAATTGGCTATCACCCCCAAACCAGTGCCCAAGTAGAGGTACCAAATCGAGAGATAAAGTCCATCCTAGAGAAAACAGTTGCAAGAACGAGAAAGGATTGGTCTGATAAGATTGATGATGCACTTTGGGCCTACGAACAGCCTACAAAACTCCAATAGGTACAACCCCGTACAGGCTCGTATACGGAAAAGCTTTTCACTTACCCGTTGAGCTAGAACATCGAGCATTATGGGCCATTAAAAGCCTAAACTTCAATGCTAAGGCCGCGGGAGAGAAGAGGCTATTGCAGTTGAATGAGCTAGATGAGCTCCGCCTCGAAGCCTATGAGAGTTCAAAGCTTTATAAGGAGAAAACAAAGAGGTGGCACGACAAGGGCCTCATAAGAAGAGAATTCAAAGAAGGAGATCAAGTCCTTCTATTCAATTCAAGGTTGAAGCTATTTCCAGGGAAACTCAGGTCAAGGTGGTCGGGTCCTTTCACGGTCTACAAAGCATATCCCTATGGCACCATTGAACTATGGAACAACACCGGGGGCACCTTCAAAGTCAATGGACAAAGGGTGAAGCACTATCGAGCAGGAGATCCTATTGAAGAGAAGTCAGATATCAAATTCTCTTCCCCACCACAAACTCAATGAGGATGAATACGGTCAAGCTAATGACCTTCTAAACGAGCGCTTGCGGGAGGCAACCCGAATTTCTAAACCCCCTAGTATTTTACACTTTCTTTTCCCTTTTTAGTATTTTTATAGTTGTGTTTTGCTGTTTTACAGAGAGTACCAAGCTAAATACGAAGTGGGATGCCACGAGAGCAGTCAACAAGATCGAGAATGCGTAAATTTTCCCTCTGCCCGGTCAGACCGGGCGCGAGAGCCAGACTGCCCAGAAAGACCGTGTACGTCAAAGATCTTCTCCGCCCGGTCAGACCGGGCAAGGCATGCCCGATCGGGCGCGAGAAGCATGATCGAAGATTTGGGAATTCAGAGTTTAGACTTCTTCGCCCGGTCTGACCGGGCGAAGTCCACCCGATCGGGCGCGAGTGCAGCAGAACAGAAAAAGAAAAAATGCAGAAGAAGAACTTCTTTGCCCGGTCAGACCGGGCGACGTCCGCCCGATCAGGCGCGACGAATTCCTGCGTTTTATAAAATAGTTTTTCGGGCTTCTTTTTCTTCTTCTTCACTCTCAAATTTCCCAATCTCCCTACTCTTTCTCTCTCTAAAAATCCCCAATTCCCAACCCCTAACTTCACTCATCACTCAAATTCTACAAGATTAGTCACTCAAATCCTCAAGAATTCGTCACTCAAACCCCTTTTCGCCCAAATTTCTGAGATTTTCGCACCTTTCCCTCCCTCCATTGTTACTCCTTTTGCTCACCTTCAAGAAAACCCAAAACTTCAAAACTCACAAAATTTTCAGGATCTTGAAGATGTCTCAAAGGAAGAGAACTAGGAGCACACCTCAACAACAACCACAATTGGACTTGGAGGGTGTAACCGGGTACCCACACGCG